ACTGATTCCTTTCATAGAAGTAAATCTGTCAGAAAAGTCACATATTGCAGTCCAGCCTGGTATGTCTCACTTGTCTCGAGCATTGCCTACATAAAGTACAAGACAGAATATTTTCCAAACATTTTGGAAGTAAAAAGAGGATCTGAATTTTAAGTCTTGATACATTTACATTTGACCCTGAGTATGAATTCCAGCAATGGTTCTATGTATGTTTATTTAGTTAATAAGCCTATTTTAAATCACAATACCAAATCAGAAAAGTTTATGTTAAATGACAATCTGAATGTATCCACTTAGAGCTGAAGCATGAAGAGACTAGATTATTTTTTTTTAATTTTGCAATGAACCAAATGTTTAAAACTATATACATACTAATTATCTATGCAGAAGTTGAAGATGCTTGCATTTTATATTGTTTTTTTTTGATACTGAAGTGAGCATAGGAGTTGCAATCGGGTCCAGTACGTGAGAAAATGCTCTGGGAACCTGAAGACGTGAGCTTCAGCTTTTCAGAAAAAGCAAAAATGGTGCACTTTTTTAAAAAGAAAAAACAAAAGATGACCACAACAGTGTCGAGGGTCAGTGAAATAATACAAGAAGAACCGATCTTCAAATTTCTGAAGGTATTTTCCACCCTTATTTCATTAAAAATTAATGGAAAGACTAATGTGTCTAGAATAATTAAGGACACAAAAATCAACCAGCTTCAAGAGGGAAGAAGCAGGAGTAAAGAAACAATAGACCCGCAGTGCATACAGATGATACCATGCTTCCAAAGCTACTGGCAAGTGGGAAAGACATTATGTCCTAGACCAGTGTACTAACAAATAAAGGGTGACAGCGACGTCACTCGGCGTCTGTACCAGCACTGTTTCCCACTACAGGTGCAATAAATACTACAAACCCTAACTCTTCTCTTGTGGGGAAGGAAAATACAGACCCAGTGCCTGAAATCACGCCCGTTTAGACTGCTTGGCTTGCGGTCTCCATTCCGCAGGGATGGGGACCGACGGAGGAGAGGACATAGCGCACGACATGGTTTCACTGTTGGCATTTGTCACGTTCTGTGAGCTGACACCACCTTGCGTTTCTTTACGTATATATTTGCTTAATCGAGTTGCTAGTGTTGACAGCTGCAATTGCTGATATGAGGGTTTCTGAGCCCGGGCATTAATCCCTATAGGCAGAGCACAGCCAGCAACGCCTACAGATGGAAAGCCCTTTCAGTGCATCCGGCAGGGGCTGGGAAAGGACAATGAGTGTGTAAACAGCCACAAACAGAACGGAAATGTAAGATAAAAAATCTAAAGTGCTATTTAAGCATAATCAGAAGCAACTCTATAACAATCTGTGGTTGGCTCCTGCAGTGGAACATTTCTTTATAATAATAACTGGGATGGCAGTTAATGGCACGTGTACTTTTATCATATTGGTATCAAGTATCAGGTCTTAAACTTTCCATCGAACATTAAGCGATCCCTCCTCTTTGACCTCAGCACACAGAGTAACATCAAACTCGACCGGTAGACGAGGAGTTAGAGCTGTATCAAATTAACTAAATATAAGTTCAATCACTTATTACATTTAAAAAAGCTTCCGAAAGCTCTCGTATGGCCCTGGTATCTTGTTATAACTCAACAGCATGAGAGCTGCAAGCAAAACTTAAAATTTTTATTTTAATAAATCTATTTTAAATAATGAGAATGATTACGTTGTGTTCACAGCATGTAGCACAAAGAATATCTGCAGGGAAGCAAGTTTTCCCTCACCTAAACAAAAGTGCTCAGGAAAGGACTCAGATGAGGCATTACTCCCCATATAGGTTATTTATTTATGTAACCTATTTTATTTCAGTATTAACAAAATACTATTAAGAGATTTGAAAATTTTATTCTGACAAAATGATCACAAAATAGGACTGCTACTTTTCCAGTTTTGATGTTGTACAGCAGCAGTACAGATACTTTTAATAAAGTGGCATTTACAAGTTTCATATTTAAATTCAGAAAAAATACTGCTCTGATCGTTTTTTTTTTAAAACTAAAGCAATCTTTTTCATCACAGAAATTACATTGAAATAGAGGAAAATATTCTTTGCACCACTTCTGCTTTTTTCTAACAGGACTAGAGACTTTGCCAAGCCATGCTTGTAACGATAGTTGATTTGAATTAAAACTATGTAAAATTCACTGCAAACTGTAACAGGCAAACAATTGTCTTAAGAATTGTTTGTAATTTCCTTCTTTCATACGTATTTGTTGCTCACACAGTAAAAGGAGAGATAGGTATGATCAAATCGCATCCAGGCACTTTGACTTACGATCCCTTTAATGGACTCAAACTACCTTAAAGGCATTTACGCTTCCTTTATACCCTGCATGAAGTCATTTCAGAACCTCATCAGTCCATTCCTTCACTTATTTTCAACCTAACTGATGCGTTTATGTGCACTCACTCTTAATACTAGCACAATTAAGGGCTCTGATTTAGTGTAGTTTAAAACAGACCTATGTGAATGATGTCTCTGGGTGAGGTACAAGAGGTGATAGTGTTCGGGGGATACAGCGACGTTGCTAGATTTGAGAAAGACACCCTCCTAAAAATGTAGCTGTTTGTTTTTAATTGTTGGCTGCCCAGTTGCTTGAAGAATCACATAAAAGGAAAGTAGCTCCATTCAACCTCCTGCTTAAAGCAGGATCCAATTTGCTGAAGCTGCCGCCGAATAAGTCCAGGGAAGTTGGAGTATTTCCAGTAGTGCAACCCGTCTGGGCAACCTGTTGCAATGTTTATTCATTTCTATAAATCTATTTTGCAGCAGAATCAAACAAGACATTAAACAGGCTGTTAGATGGCTCTCACTGCAGCTCTGATCATGAGGCAACTCCAAAATTTGTGCCAGGAAATGATTGTAGTTTTCTTTTTAAAGATTAAGGAGTAAATAAAGCAATAAAATTATATATGTAAACTAATAGCTGGTAGTGATTTACTAAAATTAATTAACATTTTAATACGAATAATTATCAATATATATAATTCCGTTAAGTGCTATTTAAGCAATATGCCAATAGCAATTAACAGCAATTGTGCCAACAGTAATTAACAATAAATCAGCATCTAGGAAGAGAATTTGCCAAAAGCTGACAACTTTACAAATTTAGATCTTAACTCTTTAATAAGGAAATGAAACACTATTGTCTTAAACAATCAAATAAATCACAAACTACGGGATATCTTTTGGTCATTATTAATAATTTTCTTTAATTTCATTGCTAAATGTAATTACCAAGCTCTTCACTAACGTAAATGAAAGAGAAATGCATCTACCACAAGAGACTTAAGAGCTTGTTTAATTAAATTCAAAGACATATTTAGCTATTATATTGGTAAGTAAAAATAAAGTACCATCCCAACTGAGAAATATCAAATATTAAAGAATGGACTAAATTAATTTTAAATCTAAATCTAGCATTAAAGTTGATTACCTATAACTGAATGGTTCATAAGTGAGAAAACATCCATAATTTACAAGTTTCACTGTGGCAGTTACGCAGTATTTATAATTTATGGCACTCTCTCCTCCAAACAGATTTTAGTAAAATGAAATGACAGTTCCTCATGGGAATAGCCATCAAATCAATATCAAGGGAGTGTACAGACACTACTGAAAAATTGTCATCACTATTCAAAGAATCCTAGACTGGCCTAGGATGGAAGGGACCTTAGAGCTCATCTAATCCAATCTCCCTGTCAAGGGCAGGGACGCCTCTCAACTAGATCGTGATACTCAAGGCTCCGTCCAACCTGGCCCTGAACACCTCCAGGGAGGGGGCAGCCACAACGTCTCTGGGCAATTTATTCCAAAGTCTTGCCACCCTCGTACTGAAGAATTTCTTCCTAAGGTCCAATCTAAATTTATTCTCCTTCAACTTAAACCCATTTCCCCTTGTCCTATCAGTGGACACTCTTGTAAAAAGTACCTCCCCAGCCTTCCTGTAGGTTCCCTTTCGCTATTGGAAGGCAGCTATTAGGTCCCCCCAAAGTCTTCTCTTTTCAAGACTGAACAATCCCAGCTCCCGCAGCCTGTCCTCATAGCAGAGGTGCTCCAGCTCCTGGGTCATCCTTGTGGCCTCCTCTGAACACGCTCCAACAGCTCCATGTCCCTCTTATGGTGGGGGCACCAGAACTGCATGCACTATTACCAACATACTTTTTCTAAACATGTATTTAAAGTGAAATGATGCACATCCAGGGTGGGAACAAGGTGGCCCGAAATGCAGACCTTAAAAGCAGTTCATCTTTTTCTAACTCTAAAATCAGAAACTCTCTTTATTTTCACAGTTCCATAAGGCTGTGTCAATAGAATATACCTGTGAAAAGAGTGGAGTCATTAGGATCAGTCTGCAATGCAATCTGCATTTTTAGAGGTGCCTCCTTATTATATGTAACAGTTATTTAAAAATACTTCCATCATGATCATCTACAGGAGTTTCAGGAAGTGTTAGAAATTTCCACAGATAAGAGGAACCGTTCACCTACCCACCCAACACTGATTCTGAGACGTAATGACTCCCTTGAAAGACAGATACAATTTTTTAGGAGTAATTTAGAAAATGTCCTTTGTAAGTGACAACACTTGTGAAAGGAAAGTCCTGGAAAAACCCCAGGTGGCATTTGTGACCCAAACTCTTTAGGTGCAGAACAGAGTTGTTCACCCTTAGCCGGCATGTTTAGATGTCTACGAGAAGGAGTATTTACCGTCTGTAGGCAGCAACAAATAGGTATGACAAAGGGATTAAAGAATCACAATTTGGGAGACTGCAATTTGCAGTTTTGTTGGCTTGTAACAATTTTACTTCCCTACTGCATTTCAACAGATTTGTTACGTGATCACTGCAGGTTAATCCCAATCACTGGAAAGAGCACAGATGCTAACAATTACCACAACACAATGATTATAAATTTAGAGTAACTTCAGAGAAGAGTTACGTTCATGTACTTACTGGTGATGCATGCACTTGGGTTATTCTTAACTGGTTTTCCAAATCTTGAACTTTATTTTTCAGTTCTGTGTTTTCAGTTTCTAATTCTTGAATCTACGAAGCAAGCAGTTATTGCAACACACATGGGGATAATCATTCATTTCAATACCAGCATTCACGTAGAGTAAATTTCATTTGAGATCTGGTGATTTAGAAGCAATGTTTAAAGTAGTTATCTGATTATTAAAAGTATTTAAATGGCTGCACCTTCCATATTTTAACCTTAGTTTTTCTCTTTTCACCTTGTCAGACAGCAAAACATAAAATACTTTTTCACAGTTACCAGGATTTTTTGGGGTTTGAGGGTTTTTTTTAGTATTTCTTGCAATTCTTAGCAATCTGAGAGTAATGCTGGAAATTCTGCTGTCACAGAAAGCAGGTAACACAAATACAGTAGCATGTTCTCTTATCTCTTCAAAAAACATAGTTCAGAACTTACTCTTTTCTGTAAACCTGCAATTTGTTTCCTTGTCTCAACATCTTTTCCTCCGGATTCCAAAAATTTCCTGTAAGCTAAGTCAAACGCTTGACCAATTGTTAAAGTTATCTCTTCCGCCTTGACATAAAACACAAGATTGAAATTAGTAAGAATATTTTACATAATTCCTTTCATTTACAACGACCACAAAATGCTTTACACCACGTGTTTGCTTCACCCATGAGGAAGTCAAAGCTACAAAGGAGTGGGGCAAACACTCTGGAGCAAAATACCTTGACAGAAAATGCTACGAAAGCAACTTAAAAATACTTTGGATAAAGAAGTGAGACTGAATAGGCAGAATACAATTAGCTACTTTTTAGTATAAACTACGCCTCTTGTACTAGTGTGTAGATACTGCGAGGACAATTTAAAATCCCGAGGTTGTGTGAAGAAGAGGCAGAAATTGGAAGAGAAATGAAGAGATGTGTATACCCATTCTGAACAGTATCTCCTGAAGCACTGGAGCAGTGCGGGTGAACAACAAAATAATCAGGAACACTGTGAAGCAAAACGTAACACTACACATTTGCATCTAAATAGAAGTGAATATGCATCTCTTTCTAAAAAAATTATTATCCTTTTTCTGCTCTTGCACATTTTTGAACAGTTGCCCTGTTCTGTCTCGGACACAAGAGAACGTCGGTGGTTGGTGCAATGAATTCTCTGGTAGTGCATCACGGCACTAACAAACAGGAGAGACGTGATGGGGGGGAAACTTGCAGTAAAAAAACCCAAAACAACCAAACAAAAAACGAATAAATAATCTTGAGGCAGATACAAGAGCCTGCGAGGGTATCTCAGCCACAGGGTTGCAGCAATCTCTGCAAAACAGCTGTGCAAATATCTTGAGCTTAGTGGGATGCAGTCTGTTCTCTGGGAGTACTGTCGATGCTTGGCCCAGGATATTGAGCTGGGTAGCAAGAATTGTCCCAGCAAACCACCTTAGATTGATGGAAGAAAAAGGGTCTCCTTTAAATTAATGCAAACCACCATATTTTGTGAAAGATTATATCAAAGTGACCCCCATTAACAGGCCTTTATTAAACATTCCTGTTTCTTTTTTTCAAAGTCTGTAGAAGTCACCCAAATTCTTTTAAATTGTCTTGCATACTTACACACTTTTCACTGTCAAATACATAGCACAGGTGCTTATTTGATTCGGAGTCTTTGCATATGAAAGTAAATATTCTTTTGTCAGTTTTATCATCAGCACAAAATGATATCCTATGGAGCTGACAATTGTGTTGGACTTCCTGCAAATGAAAAGATTATTTTCATGAAATTACCATATGTGCTTAGGATAAAGATGCACAGAGAAAATCTCCAGATTTCCTTGTGTACATAAGAGCAGACAAGTTGCAGAAACATTTTTGAACGTCTCTGAACGTATATGAGAGCGCCCAAAAACAGACCTAAAGTATAACAGCAGTAAGCAAACTCATCTAATAAATGTTCCCATTTTTACCGAATGTAAGCAGGAAGTTTTTATTTGGACAGCATTTATTTGGAAGTGTTTATCTGGACAGTAATTTGTGTTCCAGAAAATTGGTTTTACTGTTGCATTGAATTCCTGTGCAATTTATTTAAGGACTAATTAAGTAAACTTCTCCATGGACACCCCCTTGTCGCAGGGGAGAAGCTTGCATGCCCTCACGAGGTTGCGAGCTGTGCTGGCGGTGGCTTTTGCCTCTGATAGGGTCTCCCATGCCAGACAGGTCTCAACTGAAGGGTCAGACTAAGTGTGTGCACAGGTAGGATGGGCTCGCTAGCCTCCTGGCAACCATCCTAGGAGAAGGACAACTCTAACTCCAAACCCGGGCAGATGGAGCTCGTTTAGCCCTGTAAGGCCACCCATCTAAGAGAAGGATACTCTAACTAAACCTGCATCCTGAGGACTTTGCTGTCACCATCCAAGGTCGCTAGGGCCTGGCAGATGAAGCTTAAGAGTAAAGGGTGGGGCCAGTTCTGGGCACCCTGAGCCTCACCTGAAAAATCCATTGTGCAGGCTTGAAGGTTACACCCACATTTGTAAAGTCCTGTAGCGACAGGCGAGGGACAAAACGGCAGGTGATAAGGTGCACTGAAAGGCGCATACCCAGCCCTGTAGGTGGTTCAGGACAGTGGTTGCTCGAGACTGAACCGGGAGACAGTCTTGTTCGGCAACATCTTGAATGACCAAGCATCCTTTTTCAAGGAGAGCACTGCCTGCTCTGCACAGAGAGGGGCCTAGAAAAGGTGGCCTAACCAAAGATCATCTCCACCCAGTTGGCTAACCGCAGCTAATGGGCATCTTCTGATGCAGTCGAACAAACACAGAGACAAAGGCATACACCTGCCTCCAAAGGTGTGTTCAGATTGACACTTGCATGTTGGAACATTAGAACCATGCTTGATACTGCGGATAGCGGACGTCCTGAGCGTTGCTCTGTTCTAATTGGCCATGAACTATCACGACTCAACATCGACATTGCTGCTCTCAGTGAAGTTCCTCTCCATGAGGAAGGCAGTCTCAAAGAACACGGTGCCGGCTACACTCTCTATTGTTCAGGCAAACTCAAAACTGAAAGACACCTTTCAGGAGTTGGTTTCATGACTAAAAACTCGATTGCCTCCAAACTTGAAAATCTGCCGACAGACCATTCCAATCGCATTATCTTCCTACGCCTCCCACTACACAACAAGCAACATGTTGTTCTCTTCAGCATATATGGCCCAACTCTCCAAGCTGACCCTGTGGAAAAGGACAAGTTCTACATCGACCTGCGCCACCTGACTCTCAAAAGGCTCCTGCAGAGGATAAGATCATAATCCTTGGT